ACTTGGAATTCGATTCCGCTTTTTCCTGTGTGTTGCCAACGAACTCCTCTATTTAATTATGTTTTCACAATAAGCTTTTGCCCAAAATTATGTCCTCTTGAAGCTTCAGACCTACACACCATAAACAAAGAAAAACAGAAAAACACACAGAAACACAAGAAAAAAACTGAAATAGATCAAAACACGCAATAAACTACAAAAACGAATATAACCGAAAGAAAAGACTCAATATGGGGGAAAAATAAAGACAAAAAGACGACGAAAAATGCAACAAAAATGGGACAAACAAGGAACTAAGGTGGCGCCCAATTTTTGTTGAGAGAGGGGCAATTTCGGTGCATTTCTTGTGTTTGCAGATGATCTACTATTTTTGAAGGGCTCGGATGATCAGACGTTGATTCTAAATCATGTCTTGAATCTTTTTTGTGAACCCTTAGGGCTTAAGATAAGCCTGGGGAAGACGCAAGTGCTTTTTTCCAATAATGTAGAGACCCATGAACAAATTCATTTGGCAGGATTGCTAAACTTCAAGTTAACGAAAAATCTGGGTAAGTATCTTGGGATGCCGATGATTCATGGGCGCGTGACTAAGAATACATATGATCATATTTGGAAAAAGCGGAGTCGAGGCTCGCTGGTTGGAGCATGAAGTCGCTTTCGATGGTTGGGCGAGTGACTCTTACTCAATGACTAGGTTAAAGGAAGAAGGGTATGATAGTATCTTATTAATGAATTCTCGATGTGTTTTCTGAAGCCTCAAAAGGTCGAATTTATACACAAGTAAAGTAGGAAATAATGATAGTTGTGTGCCAATTAGTGGTGCGAGTGAACGAGACGTGCCTCCATGCAAAAACTCGACTTATGGTGATGGGACTAGGACGATTGCTTAACCAGGTCGCTTCACCAGTTCTAGTTCACACCGTGCAGAGTAACCGCTAAAGGTCGCAAAATGGGCTAGCCAGCAGATCGACGTTCAGGTTGGAGGGAAATCAACAAAAGAGTGGTCATGCAGGGTTCGTGGACTTCTCCATTTATAATTTGAGCTTAAACCGAAATGGGCCCAATTTCCATCATGAGTGACGCGTCTTTTGTCTTCCTGGGCCGATCAGAGCATCAAATTTACACTCTAGTGACATAATATTTTGGTATAAAGTGTAAATGTAAAGATTAATGTAGAATTTCCTTCTTTTATTGCATTTATACCTGCACCAATAACTAGAATAACAACATAAAGAATACGGAAAAATATGAAGGTTGAAATTCCGTCGGTCCAATTCATTTGAGTTGGGCCAACTAAATTATGACTTGAATTGGGGAGGGGCCGCGCGGACACAGGCCCCACTACCACAAATTATGACGTAGGCTCGACCGCTTGGGCCGACCTTAGAGGGGCGCCCCTCCCTCAGTGCAATGAAGTCGCCATCCTAGGCCATGGGTCTTCTTGATCGCCCATTGACCCCGTCCAGGTAAGTATGTGACTAGATGCAAGCCCGACCCATTTTATAGAATGCTTTCCCTTTTGTATCAGTATTTTTGCACCGATGTGGGATAATACACTTTAATACTTTCATATCCTTATGCTGGTGTTGGAAACTACTGCATATTAAAATAGGCAAACAATACATATTTTCCAGTGTTGTCTAAGGATAAGAATAATATTTAGCAAGGGACAAGATTAATGAAGAAGTATTGCTGTATGAAATTGTTTATTCACTGAAAAAATGAGGAGATGCTACGATGAATACTAATAGATTTTGGAAATATGTATGCAAAATTGTCCATCTCAGAACGACAAAAAATCACGTGAGACGAATCACAAATAATCGAAAAGATCAACTAATTTAGTTGAAATTAAAGAACTTGAACAAAAGAAATTCTGAAATTGATTAAAATTAAGGCGTGCCAAACACGCTCTCCTTAAGACGAAATTGTCACCGATTAATGTCAACGGTTAATGAGCATCCAATCACTCGCTTGCAAGCGCCTAAGTTCGCTCACCCATATGCATCCATTTTCAATTCTAACAATTTTTTTGAAATTACTTAAACTCAATTTTAAGCTACAAAAACTCGAAGTTTTTCTTCATTTTTTATATTATCTTTTCATTCACTTTAAAAAAGTTTTAAAATTTTTACAAGTTCTTTATTTATCTACTACGAAAGTAGAACACAACCGATTCCGGAAAACCGTAAAAAAACTTGAGGTGAAATTGGTGCAGGACCAATTTTACTTACGTTTTTGCCATGCACATAGTAACATGTGGACGATTGTAAGAAAAATGGTACTATATCAATTTCTCGTTCCTTTCAAGTAGGAAACTTATAAAGAATGCAAACTCATTTTAAAATAACAAAAAATTAATTTTAATTTTTGTGGAAAAGATTGAGTTTTTGTAGCTCAAATTTGAGTTTAAGTATAAAAAATTGTTTAAGCGAGCGCTAGTAGACGTTCAAGCCATTGCGGTCGTTATTCAGTCGACTGTAAAAAAATGGTGCAATTAATTTGATATATATATTTTTTTTTGAACAATATATTAGTGTAATAGGATTAGCTAATAACGAGAGTCTCTGTCTCTCTTCCCTTCACCCAAAAACCACAACAGAGAAAGATATTGAGTGCCCCCCCTCTTCTTGTCGGGCACCATCTTGTCGCTGGTTTCCAGCCTCGGGCCGAGTCGATGGTGTCCTTCGTGCCTTCCGCTCGTCAGATCTGGGTCCGGCTGGACTCCCAATTGGTGAAGGCATCGACTCCTAAGTGGAGACTCGTCGGGTCAACTTCCAATTGGT